TCAGATAAACAATGATTTGTTTCAAGTGGTGAAGACTTGTGTCTGACCATCCACACTTTTTGGATCTGTCGATAAAAAAGTAACGGTGCAAAAGACTTGCCACGGAGACGCCGAACGACAGTCCACATGTGTTATTATCGCGGAGTTTAACCTCTCCGGATCACAGTCAATATCAGCCAGTACTCACCTCTCAGCAGACACATGCAATATAATGACAGCAACAATAATAATAATAATAATAATACTTATTATTATAATTGTAATAATAATAATAAAATAATCTCATATAATTGATAATAATTTTATACGTTTTTATTATTTTAAAAGTATAGCAATATATTGACACATTGATGACGATCTTTTTACTCCGACATCCAGTAATATATATATATATATATATATATATATATATATATATATATATATATATGCGGAGCTATGTAGAGTACCAGGTTGCGAACTGGCACGGGCTAGCTAATTTCTTTGATGAGGGTGAAAGGTGTCTCTCTGAGCTTTGGTTAGCAATCCTTTTAGTGTTGGTTTCACGATAAAAAGACTTCAGATGGGAAGGAATATATATATATATATATATATATATATATATATATATATATATATATATATATATACCAGGTGTAACAGTAAAATTGTCCAAATCGTGTAACAGCATAATTATCCATCACATAAAATGTTTAATATCTAAAAACCACTAAACTAAATGAGGTTTTTTTTCCAGGTTTTCAGATAAGACGATTAACCATCTTGTACCATTTTCGCAAGAATCACAGAAAAACCCTTTAAGTTAATCAGCTAAAAAGAGAGCAAGTTAAAATTGTTTTTGTTAGACTCACTGAGCAATAGTGAGAGGAAAAAGATCATTCAGGCCTTCAGTAATGGCACCAACATTCATACTCTGGCTTCCATCTTCAAAGTCCATTCAAGAACCATCAAGAAAACGGTGAATAAGTTTAAAAAAAGGAAATAGTAGAGAAGGAAACTGGATCAAGAGGTCACAACAGGAAGAGAGATCATCATTTCAACTTAGAGCTAAAGAGATCAATTAAAAAAGATCCAACTCAATCCATAAGACGTTTGGCACATGACAGATGAGTTTTCAGCCATGATAGTCCAAAGAGCTGTGAAAAAAGACTTGAAAATGAAATCGTACGTGAAAGATATGAGGCAACTTGCTACTCCAGGACAGAAAGTTAGAAGGTTAGAGGGTGAAGAGCATCTTGAATAAGTTGGAAAATGATCGTGGAATAATATATATATATATATATATATATATATATATATATATATATATATATATTTGAACTTCATTTCAATACTTCATGAGCTTCCGATCCTCAAGGACACACGGCACAGTGGATAAAGGAGTTGGCTAGATCCAGTGACAGGACCCAAAGAGTGTAAGTTCAATACCCGGTTAAGGCAGTGGAGAACTTTCAGAGGGAAATTAACAGGAGATAACTGATAACTGACATCCATTAAACATGGCACGTGGAACTAGAACAGTCTACCCCAGTGAGCGAAATAAAGGGTTCAGTCCGACATTCTAACCACCTGAAGAAGGCCAGAGCGTACAACGGCCGAACCCTTGTAATAAATATGAGGACAATAGTCCTTCCCATGGTATTTGTAGGAAAGCGAATGCAAAGATCCCGACCGGATTTTCAATTCGGTTTCTTGTTCTGAACCTCTAATACACCGCCAGAACATCCATACAGATTGTCACGGGCAATAACGCGAAATTGTTGGAAATAGGTGATAACTTAGTAATCCAAAATTCTTTTACAGACCCCCCGCCCAAAAAAAAAGACCCCCAAAAACAAAACAAAAACAACAAAAAACTCCAGGAAAAAAAACAGGGGTGTGATGTGAGTAACACAGAGTTGTTATAATTCTGCAAGGTTAATTTTACATCCCCAAGGCCAAAAGCACACGAAAGACATTACTAATATCTTCAAGATAAACCAGAACTACAGGAGCTAAAGGACTTTGAATAGAACTAAGATAAAATCTTTCCTGACTTGAACGCTTTTCATCTCAAATGTTTTTTTAAACGTAATAAACGAGTCCAACAGTTTAAATATCTGGGAAGTGTTTTAACAAAAGACGGAAAGTGCGACACTGAAATCCGATAAAACATTGGGATATCGAAAGATGCTTTCCTAAAGCTAAGCAAAGTATTAGGTTGTTATCCTTTTCCTCTCCCTTAGCAAAGGAGCGTCTTGATTTTGTCCAAAGGCAGAATACAGCGGCCTCTCTTAAATCTTTTGATGGTTGGACGGGTCCAATTATAACATCAGTTATCTTTATTTTGTTTGTTTTGATATTTTAGTTTTGTTTTTGGGTTCATCTCCTCCCCGCTCATTGTATACCATCCAAAGATTTTTATGTATTTTAATATAATTTTAAGATCATGAATTTTTTTATGTCATAGGGTACGTTTTGTAGGTACCCTGAGTGTATGAGGCATTATGGTGTATGGAGGATTGAATGATGACGGATAAGTTCTTTAGGTGGCTGTGCAAATTGTAACGAGTGAATGGGTTCTGAATCGGATTAACTAGGTATAGGATACTAAGTGATGACCAATTTCAACCCAGTCCCCCACTTTCGGCTTTGTGCCACAATTGTATTTTTATACAATAAATCTTGCAAAGTACTAGGTTGTCACACTTGAAATAACACATTTTTTGGTTGGTTGCTGGTTTGGTCATCTAACGAAGTTAATTCCTTAATATAAAAAACAATCTTGACTTATTCCGGACTGTTTTTCTTTTCAGATAATTTTTCTTTCAATATATTGTTACTCATAAGCCGAATGAAAATGATTACAATGAAACAATATCGAGTTATCTTACTCTATGAGTACAAATTGAACAAATAATTTAAAAAAACATAATGTATTAGGTTGTCACAAATGAAATGAGACATTTTTTAGTTGGTTGTTGATCCGGTCGTCTAACAAAGTAACCTCCTTAGTGCATAAAAAGTCTTGACTTATTCCCGACTCTTTTTCTTACAAGATAATTTTTCTTTCAATATATTGTTACTCATAAGCCCAAGGAAAATGATTACAATGAAACAATATCGAGTAATCTTACTGCATGAGTACAAATAGGGAAAAAGAACCATTTTTGCATCGAATCTTTAAGTGCGATGAGAAATGGATGCTCTTTAACAAGAGTAAGGGAGTTGGCCAGTGGTTAGATGCAAATGAATCACGAAAAAAAAATACCCAAAACCTCCACTACACCCTAAAAAAGTTAATGGTTACTGTATGGTGGTCTTTCAAGAGGGTTATTCATTATCCATTCTTGCCTCAAGGGAAAACATTAACAGCAATCTCGTATTATGGAGAAATTGAGTGTATGCACGAAAAATTGAAAAAGAAACATCCCAGACTTGTGAATAGGGATCGCCCAATTTTGCTGCACGGCAACACACAGTCGCCCGGTTCTCAGTCAACTGAAAATTTGATAATCACAGGACTGATTGTAGGCAATAGGGACAGAGGATCATTTGTCTTATCAGGCTAATTTATGCTTCTATAGTATCCACATAGAAACTGCAATACGCACCTTAGTTAAAGTTCAAATATTTGCCCAATCAGGGCCACATATGATTTTGAATGTAATAATATAACGTAAATACATTGCTAATAATTTTACTACAGTAGAATCCATGACAACTGGACATAGAAAGCCTTCCGGATATGAGGAATTGGTTACAAAGACCGGATATGAGGGATTCCGGATATGAGGGATTCCGGATATGAGGGATTCCAGATATGAGGAATTGGTTACAAAGTCCGGATATGAGGGGTTATATTTAGATTAAAAGAACTGAAATCAGGTTTAACATTTATTTTCAATGTTTTATAGCAAACAAAATAAGCTAATAATGAGTGGAATATAACGGAATTGATTTTTAGGAAAAAGAAATAAATTTACAGTAGAATCCCTAACAACCGGACTAAGAAGACCTTTCGGTTATGAGGAATTGTTTACAAAGGCCGGATACGAGGGGTTATATTTATTTTAAAATAAAAGAACTGAAATCAGGTTTAACATTTAGCTTCAATGTTTTATAGTAAATAAAATAAGCTAATGGTGAGTGAAATATAACGAAAGTGATTGTAAGGAAAAGGAAATAAATGTAATGTTAATAAAAATTAAGTATGCCACGTATGCAAAACAAATAATGTAATGAGGATTTTTTTAATCGCTGTTGCATGATGATTCTTTCTCTTCTAATGTCATTCTCAATTTTTTTCCGCATTTCGTTTTGCTTTTGTTCCTGATATTTTTTAAACGAAAGACACTTTTTAATTCTATGTGCGTTACTGCAATCGTCATAACTGAATGATGGATTTCTTTCCATAAAACCGACAACATTTTCAATAGCTTTTTCAATTTCAGTTCAGATCTCATCACAATCATGTTTTTTAATTTTTTGTTCATTGTGACAGTGTGAACGCTGGAGAATAGTTTCTTTGGAAGATTTTATATCATACAATGTTGACTTTCCTATGATGAACTCAGCCATTAGTTACAATTAACTTTCACTTTCACTTTGTCTGTTTAAAATTTCCACTTTTTGCGATAATTCCAAAGTTGTTCTTTTCCTCTTATTCCCATCATCTTTTGCACCAATACAAGCCATTAGGGCGAAATTAGCATAAGCAATTATCCAAAGTAAATTTCCTGAAAAATAGAAATTTCAAATCAGTTATATGTTACCCAAATAGTTCAAATATATACATCAAAATCATGTCCGGATATGCGGGATTCTGGATATGAGGGATTCTACTGTATATGAATACATTGAAGCTTTATTCAATGAGACATCAGACAGGAAGTTATGACGATCACCTGATCATCTGGCGATATACGGGGCGTAAAAACGTGAGGAATGCGACAAAGAAAAATGGAGAAAAGGGCCAATTAAGGGAAAGGTAACATAAAAAAGGGCGGACAAAATATCAAATGCCTTTGTCGAGGAAGAGAACACTGCAAATCAGCGCGATTTCTATCTTCAACATGGCTTCTCGTTTCCAGCATATCCATCTGCTCAGGTCTGTTTCTTCATCAGGCACAGAGTCAAACTGTAGTTTATACAGCGACTATGCCAAGCTGACCTTAGTTATAGTTCAAGTATGTACACCATCAGAGACAAATACGGTGTTGAATTATGTTCTTGAATTCTAGTTACTTTTGAAATCTTTATTTTTAACAGTAAGATACCCTCCCTCACATATGGAAAGAAACTTATTAATAAGAAGATTTAAAATTAACGCATTCAGGATTTCACGGCTCTAACATCACTCCTTCATAGTCAGCCTATGAACTTTTCAGCCCATCCTCGTACTTGGAAAGAATCACTGCAGTTATTAATAAGAAGATTTGAAATTAACGCATTCAAGATTTCACGGCTCTAACATCACTCCTTCATAGTCAGCCTATGAACTTTTCAGCCCATCCTCGTACTTGGAAAGAATCACTGCAGTTATTAATAAGAAGATTTGAAATTAACGTATTCAAGATTTCACGGCTCTAACATCACTCCTTCATAGTCAGCCTATGAAATTTTCAGTCCGCCCTCGTACCTGGAAAGAATCACTGCAGTTATTAATAAGAAGATTTGAAATTAACGTATTCAAGATTTCACGGCTCTAACATCACTCCTTCATAGTCAGCCTATGAAATTTTCAGTCCGCCCTCGTACCTGGAAAGAAACAATTCAGTTAATAAGATTTTAAATGAATGCATGCAAGATTTCACAGCAATATCATCACTCCTTCATAATCAGCCTAAGATCCTTTTAGCCCCCACCTCGTTTTTGGAAGGAAACAATACAGTTATTAATAAAAAGAGTTGAAATTAATCTATGCAAGGTTTCACAACACTACCTCTCATTTCATAGTCAGCCTATGAAACATTCAGCCCATCTCCTATCTATCTATCTATCTATCTATCTATCTATCTATCTATCTATCTATCTAATTCAGTCCGTTCATTATCTATCTATCTATCTATCTATCTATCTATCTATCTATTCTACCGAGAAAATTATTTACGGAGTGTCATTAAGTCAGGCATCAGCATCACCCATAAAAAGCATAGACTTATTTTTGGCTTGAAAATGAGAGAGTTTAAATACACAATGAATCAACCAAATGGCTCCGTTGAATCTAAACGAAGACGACCAACAGACGGGCGGACGATTTGTCTAACGAGTCGATGGATGTGTAAAATATTGCGCCAGTCACGTACCTTTCATGTCAGACATGCATCTGTTTGTCTAAAAGTTGTTTCTATCTATCTATCTATCTATCTATCTATCTATCTATCTATCTATCTATCTATTTCAGTCCGTTCATTATCTATCTATCTATCTATCTATCTACAGGGGCCGACACTATTTTTCAGACACTTTATTTTTTCAAGTTTTAGGTAGCACATGCAGTCTGTACTGTTTTAGTGTAATGGCAATAACATTTAAAAACTGTTTCAATACTACAAATGGAAAAGCAGAATTCATATTAGAAGTATTTTTATTTTTTTACAAATTTTCACATTACACACGCGACAGTATTTTTTGGACATTGCAGAAACAATGCTAATAGTTATAGCAGCACCTTTTTTTCAATGACTTCTATCAGTCTATCTTCATAATGTTCGTACATATTGATAATAACGTCTCTTCGTGTTTCTAGCAGTCTATTTTTAGCATCTTGCATGCGTTACCACAGTTCAGCTTCTCTGGTTATTTCTGGCCCGTCGTAAACAAGCTATGCAAGCATTTCCCATATGTTTTCAATTAAATTTAAGTCTGGACTTCTTGCAGGCCATTCCAGAGTAGTTATATTTGCTTCACACATCCAATTTTTCACTGATTTGCCCACGTGGATGCTGCAGTTATCTTGCTGCAAAATAAAATTACTTCTCATTTCTTTTTCTATGAGTGGTAGGGCTCACTTTTCCAAAAGTTCTCTGTAGCTCAAGCTATTTTGACGTCCTTTTAACCACTCGAGCCATAAGTTTCCATTCGGAAATACCATACCCCAAACTATGACTCCTCCTCCTCCCATCTGTCTCTTGTTGAGAATAACAGGTTCACCTTTTCTCGACTATGTACACCACCCGTCAGGTCCATCGTTTTTCATCAGTAAATATCACTTTCTTGAAGTCGACATGGTTTGTTATCCATCTTTTGGCGCTTCCCAGCCTTGCCTCCTTCTGTTTTCTCGTTGGTGTAATTCTTTTATTGATTTTAGCATACTTAAGTACAATTTCGTGAGCTTTCTTTGTACAGTTCGAACACTGACGTCAAGTTCACACTTCTCCTTTACTTTCTTCGCTGTCACCATTTCTCCAGATGATAACAACCTCGAAACACTCCTCTTCATTCTTCTTTCTGTTCTCTTGGAAATTGTTTTTTCCCCTCCTCTCTTCTTCTTCTTCTTCCGCTCATAGTCTGTACTTAGCATGTATTCAACTGTTGACTTCGCTAGCTTCATCTCAGCGGCGGTCTTTCGGATGCTGAGCCCGTCTTCTCTCTTCTTTTGGACCAAACTTATGACTTCTTTTGAATGCATTCTTCAGGATTTTAATACGTTTTCGCAGTGAATGGTAAATATACTCAAATGTAATGGTCAGGGTACAATTTACCTGCAGAAAATTTCCATATTGTAGACGTTCGACGACTAAATCATTAAAAAAAAACGGAATTTGTGTCATGTCCAAAAAATAGTGTCGCCTAAGTTGAAGTAAAAGTAAAGAAAACATGAAACCAACGACAAACCCATCAATTAATATTCATACTATTAATGGACAGTTACTGCTGAACTACCTACTCATCAACACAAAAGCTTTCGGCAGCAAAAAACACCTTTAAGCACACTTTTCAAAGTGACCTAAAAATAGTGTCGGCCCCATCTATCTATCTATCTATCTATCTATCTATCTATCTATCTATGTCTGTTCTTATCTATCTATCTCAGTCTGTTCGTATCTATCTATCTATCTGTCTGTCTATCTACACAGGAAAAATAGCCATAACTTTAATTTTACTAATGCCACTCTAATTAAATTAACATAATTCTTTACGTAGAATGTACTTTGGGGGCCTACTAATAACAATATTACTAACAATAAACACATATCAACAACCTTACATTACCAACATCATTAGAGGATTGATGTTACCTTCAGTATGCCTAGTTTCGTAAACGGACCCGTTCACTCGTCAGTGGGTATCAGCAATTGACTGTTTACACTTCTCGATTTTTCTTTTATATATGCACTTTTCATTGGTGAAAGTTTTTTTTATAGTGTATGTCTGCGTTCGTGCGCGTGCACCCATGCGCCCGTCTGTGTGCATGTGCGTACGTGTAGAATTTCGTCGTCATTTGTTCTTTTCGTCGTGTTTATTTCATTTTACACTCATCCTTATTGTTTCTATCTTTACTTTTTCTCTTTTCTCTCAGTTACAGGTATTTTGACTTTCGGTTTTCCAGACATTCACTGCCCTTCTTAATTCTTGAGCCCCCTAGTTTTTTCCTGAGTTGAGACAATTGTATTTCATTTTTAACAGAAATAATTTTTAATGTTTAAATGATAAGTTAAATATTTATCTATGCCTTCACTTGGCCATTATTTCGTTTTTCTTATTTGATCCGGTGGTATCTTTAATGCTATTAGAGAATTAATTGTAGGAGGTTAGGTTTATAATTAAATTTTTATTTATTATTGGTTGAATTTGTATGCATATGCTTACATTCATAGGTTTACGCACACACACATACATATACTTGCATAACAATATATAGATATACATGCGCATACATACGCATATATGTATACAAACTCGTGCACACAAACGTAGAGAATTTTAAATTTAAATTATTTTTTAAATATGATTTAGATATATAGTCTAGCTGATTTCATCTACCGTATATTTCATCCTATAAGACGACCTTTAAATCCTCAAGATCACCTTTAAAAATTGTGGGGGTCGTCTTATACTGCAATTTTAAAAAAGAAACCTTAAATTCTGAATGATGTTTGTTGGTAGGCAAACCTCGACCTCAGTGCGATAAACAATAACATACATAAAAAGATTCACGTTATCAAATAAACTGATAATAAAACCATTTCTACTTTATATATGACTGGCTTAACTTCATAATAAATTGCCTATTTGAAGAATAATTCTATATCTATGAAATCAATGTGTGTCCATGCAAGGTCAGCTGAGAAAATGTAAACATCAAGTTCTGATTGCATTCACAACAATGGAATGTACTATTATCATACAATAAAGTATAAATAAATGTCCATTAGTCCACCTGACTGTTTGTATCTGTTGAGATATAGAAAAAGAAGAGGAAGAGTTAGTATTTAAAAGAGATCACGTGATGAATTGTACGCAAAAAAACATAGTCTCCCTTTTAGGGGACATATGTAGGAAAAGCATTAAAAAGAATCAGTTTTGTTACTTTGTTTATTTAGAACTTCTGAGGATACAGTAAGTAACATTTCCAATAACATCATCATCTTTATACAATGAATAAGCAGTCGTCTTATACAACAGGTATAGAATAAAGTCAGGAACATTTTCTATATTTTTTTACACTGCTTTATCCAAAGCTCGCCTTATACATGTAAATATATGTAAATATATATATATATATATATATATATATATATATATATATATATATATATATATAGTGTGTGTGTATATATTGTGTATATATATATGGTGTGTGTATATATTGCTGATACCCACTGAAGAGTCAACCGTGTAATCCCTGGAGTCTGTCTACGAAACTCTGGAGTTGGGATCCTGAAGGTAATATCAGTTAGCTCAGTGAAAAACTTATTACTCATATTAATTTATATATATATATATATATATATACATATATATATATACAGGTATATACATACATGCACACACATACACGCTGTATATTCGGAAGGATCATTATATGCAAGAAATCACGTGATGAAACATAATCAAAACAATTGTTTTCTTTTTCGGGGACGTGTGTAGCAAAAACATGATATAGAATATATATATATGGTTTGTTTACTTTGAATTTCTACAGAAACAATAAGTAACAAGATTTCCAATACCATCTTTATATAATCAATAAGCAGTCGTCTTATACTACAAGTATAGGATAAATTCATGAAAATTTGCTAATTTTTTTTACATCGCCTTATCTAAAGCTCGCCTTATACATGTAAATATATGGTGTGTGTGTATATTGCTGATACCCCCGAGGTGTGAACCGTTTTAATCCCCTGGAGGGTCTGTCTACGAAACTCTGGAGTTGGGATCCTGAAGGTAATATCAATTAGCTCAGTGAAAAACCTATTACTTATATTAATTTATATATATATATATATATATATATATATATATATATATATATATATATATATATATATATATACAGGTATATACATACATGCACATACATACACACTGTATATTCCCGCATATAAGACAACCTTTAACCCCCACCCTTAAAAATTGAAGGTTGTTGTCTTATAATACAATTCTAAAAAAGAAACCTTATATTCTGAGTAATATTTGTCGGTAGGCTAACCGCGGTCTTAGTGTGATAACCAATAACGTACATGAAAAGTTTCACATTATTAAATAAAATGATAATAAAACCATTTCAACTTTATATATTACTGGCATAACTTCTTATTAGATTGCCTATTCGAAGAATAATTTCATATCAGTGAAATCAACTTGTATCCATGCAAGCTTAGCTAAGAAAATGTAAACATCGAGTTATGATTGCATCCACAGCAACTTTTATCTTGAGCTAAACTTTCAATAATCAATTAGCTTAGACAGAAGTTAGGAATATACAGTGTAACCCGGATGTAAGAGAGTTGTCGGGATCGGAGAAGAAGTCTCTTATATCCGGGTTTCTCTTATATCCGGGTTTGGACTATTTTGTTTAGGTAAGTATGGGCTCTAATTTGGGACCAGAGAAAATCTCTCTTATATCCGGGTCTCTTATATCCGGGTTACACTGTACTGAATAAAAAAAAATGTATAAAAAAGCTACAATTCTTATGCCCATAAAACAACCCCATTCAGAAACCATACACTTGCCTTTTTTTTTGTAACTAATTGTTCACGCAATAAAAGGCCCAAAAGCCACTCAAGGTAGAAGTTTACTAAATGAAGTTCTTTTAAGGGCATACAAGGAGCAAGTACTATATATTTCCGCATATAAGACAACAACTAAATCCCTGAAATCACCCTTAAAAATTAGGTGTTGTTGTCTTATACTACAATTCTAAAAAAGAAACCTTATATTCTGAGTAATGTTTGTTGGTAGGCTAACCTCAGCCTCGATGCGATGAACAATAACATACATAAAAAGATTCATATTATCAATTCACAACAATGGAATCTACTATTACCGTACTGTTATTAGCAGTATTTTGTGATTGTCAATGAAGTATAAGTAAATGGCCATTAGAACACCAGGCTGTTTGTAACTGTTTAGCTACAGGAAAAGAAGCGGGAGAAGAAGAATCAGTATTAGTATCAGAGATCACGTGATGAAACGTAAACAAAACAATGTTTTGCCTTTTAAGGGATGTATGTATAAAAAACATGGCATAGAATCGGTTTCATTTTATTTCGTATTTCTAACGATACAGGAAGTAACAACATTTCCAATAACATCATCATCTTTATATAATCAATAAGCAGTCATCTTCTACTACAGGTAGAGGATAAATTCCTGAACATTTGCTATATTTTTTTACCTTGTGTTATGTTATACGCGGAAATATACGCTATATATATATATATATATATATTAAAAATTAACTGTTTTTATTATTATTATTATTGCCAGAATGCATATCTGAGACATAAAACAGACGATATATATATATATATATATATATATATATATATATATATATTGATGTTTGAATAAAAAACAGACCACGTTAAGATTCCATGTAATAAGGTATTTCACCATAACCCCTTTAACAGGGTTCTAGATCATCAGACTTTACTTCCAAAAGAACCCTGTTAAAGGGGTTATGTTGAAATAGCTTATTACATGGAATCCTAACGTGGTCTGTTTTTATTCAAACATATCTGCTCTAATTTTACATTGAGCTCTCTGGATATCATCCTCCTCAGGTCTACCCATATGGATTACCTAAGTTTGCATAAACTGTATATATATATATATATATATATATATATATATATATATATATATATATATATATATACGTACGTTCGAAGTGCTTCGTTTTTGTACCGACTAATCAGGCACTCATTATTACTTTTGATTTTAAAAATATATATGTATATATATTAAATATTTATATTAAATTCAGTAAATATTTATACGCTTACATTTGTATGCGCGTCAACGCACGCATATACGTTTGCTAATATCTATTTATTTAATTCATCCACAT